TGAAGAAAATAAGTAAATAAATGGACATATTAGGAATCTTCAAAGAGTTCATGGAAAATGTGTATTATGAAACACTACATGGATTTCAAATTTTTTTTTTTAGAGATTTTTACCTTAGGGTGCATGAGTTCACCAGGGAGAGACCAAGAGACAGAGACAGTGAGAGGGACAGTGGGAAATCACCTGCCAGGGGAATGGCCATGCCGCAATCACTTCTCCATTCTCCTCTTGGGATCTTAGGCACGCATGCACATGTGCCTGGCATCATTTTCAAGCCATTGGGTCCAGGATTCAAACTGTGGTCAGCCATGTGGGTCCAGCAATGTAACTGTTATGCCCTCTGATGCCCCCCCCAACATAGTCTTTAAAAATAATTATTTAATTGTATTATTATTATTTTTAAAATTTGCTATGGGGCGTGTGTGCTCATCAGAGAGAGAGAGAGAAAGTAAGAAAGCTAGCCATCAGGCCCAGGACTCGAACCACAATCAGATATGTGGGAGTCTAGTACCTTAACCACCAAGAAGCCTACTGGCCCTTTCACATACTTTTTTAAAAAGTTTTATTTATTGATTTCCTGAGTGAGAGAGAAGCTTCTTCAACTGGGTCTCATACTATAACTCCCCATCCCCAGCCTTTCCAGCTAGCCAGAACCATGGGTATGCACACCTGATGCTTACAGGTTGTCCCGAGAATCAAAAGTGGCTCTCCACAAACTTTTTTTTTTTTTTTGAGAGGTTTTTGCTATAGGGCACATGTGCTTGCCATACAGAGAAAGACAGAGAGACAGAAAGTGAGAAATCACCCTCCAGGGGGATGGCCACACCGCAATCCCTTCTCCTCCATTCTCCTCTTGGGATCTTGGGCACACACGCACACGCGCCCAGTGTGAGTTTTAAGCCATCGGGTCTGGGATTCGAACCGCGGTGGACTACATGGGAGTCCAGCGACATAGCCATTGCGCTAACTGCTGTTCCCATCTCTTCACAAACTTTATTTTTTTTTTGGAGAGCTTTTTGCTATAGGGCGTGTGCGCTCGCCAGACAGACTGAGAGAGACAGAGAGACAGAAAACGAGAAATCACCCCCCAGGGGGATGGCCATGCCGCAATCCCTTCTCCTCCATTCTCCTCTCAGGATCTTGGGCATGCACGCACACATGCCCGGCGTGAGTTTAAGCCACCGGGTCCAGGACTCGAACCGCGGTCGACTACATGGGAGTCCAGCGACATAGCCATTATGCTAGCTGTGGGTCCCTCTTCACAAACTTTTGAAGTCTGCTTGTTTTTTTTTTTTTTTTTTTTGGGGGGTTTTGTTTGTTTTGGAGGTTTTGTTGTTGTTGTTGTTGTTGTGGTGTTTTCTATAGGGCGCATACGTTCACCAGAAAGACAGAGAGAGACAGACAAAAAGCCAGAAATCACCCCCTAGGAGGGATGGCCACACCGCAATCCCTTCTCAATTTTCCTCTCGGGATCTTGGGCACACACTCACAAGCGCTCCGCGTGAGTTTAAGCCACCAGGTCCGGGACTCGAATCGTGGTCGACTACATGGGTGTCCAGCGACATAGCCATTATGCTAACTGCTGGTCCCTCTCCTTGTATTTTTAATGAAAAAGGGGGAAAAAAGCATTTTAAGAACTTCTATTCATGTTCCAGCCTTGATGCTCAAACCTTGGACAAGTCACTAAACTGTTCTGTACCAATTTCCACATTGTAAGATGTAGCTAATAACAGCATATGCCCCATAGGGTTGTCTGAGGATCCTGCGAAGATGGGAACAAAAGCACTTTATTGGGCTCAGCCATGGTGGCATGTGCCACTAAGACATTGTCCTCAGCAAGCTAGGCTCACAGGCAAGGCCCTAGTTCAATTCCTGTTCCAACGTGAAGGCTGGGCGTGGTAGTGCACAGTTATAATCCTCATGACTCAGGAGGCAGGCATAGGAGGATCACTATAGTAAGACTGTATCTTTTTTTATTTTTATTTTTTGAGAGAGAGACTTTGCTATAGAGAGTGTGTGTCTGCTGGACAAAGAGAGACAGAAAGACAGAAAGCGAGAAATCACCCCCCCAGAGGCAATGGCTATACTGCAATTCCTTCTCCTCTCGGGATCTTGGGTATGCGTGAACACACGCCGGTATGTTTCAAGTCTCCAGGTCTGGGACTTGAACCGTGGTCGATTACATGGGAGTCCAGTGACGTAACCGCTATACCTTCAACTGGTTCCAAGACTATACCTATTTTTTAAAAAAAGGCACTACACAATATGTATCAGAGGTTGCAAACCATGCCCATGTTCTTGGCCTGCACAGTTCTATTTTGTTTTAAAAGAATTATTTAATTCCATTTATTTATTATTATTATTATTATTTAAGCTTGCAATAGGGCACGTGCACTCACCAGAGAGAGAGAGAGGTAAATTGAAAAAGCAAGCTGCCAGGTCTGGGACTTGAGCCACTGTCAGCCATGTGGGAGTCCAGTGCCTTAACCACCATGCCACCTGCTGGCCTGGCCTGCACAGATTTAAATGTGAAATATTGGGTTGTCAGAAAAATCAGGATGCAGGGAACCAGCAGTTAGCGTAATGGCTATGTTGCTGGACTCCCACGTAGTCAACTGCGGTTCACGTCCTGGACCCTGTGGCTTAAAGCTCACGCCGGGCACGTGTGCGTGCGTGCCCAAGATCCGGAGAGGAGAATGGAGAAGGAATTGCAGCGTGACCATCCTTCCTGGGGGGTGATTTCTTGCTTTCTGTTTCTTTGTCTCTCTCTGTCTGTCTGGGGAGCACATGCGCCCTATAGCGAAAAACCTCTCCAAAAAAAAAAAAAGTCAGGATGCATTTTGCCTAGAAAACTAGAAAAATATGTCATGATTTCCCCGACAACCTAATAGTTTCCCTTTTAAAATCTGGCTATTTCATAGAGAAAAACAAAAACGGCACAAACCTATAGTAATACCAGTTCTGATTCCCCTGCTGGCAGCAACTCGCTAGAGCTGATGAGAGGATGCCCACTCTGGTTAAGGTGTTTGAGCCAGTGTTCCTCAACCCCCTCATCCACCTGACCTGCTTCACTCATTCTCCCTGCCCATCCCTCTACAACTCTATAAAGACACAGGGGAGGGGAGGGGAGGTAAGGAGTTGAAGCTAGTGGGAAGGCTAGGAATGGAAAAAGAAATGCCGTGTCTCTTCTGACCAACACGTTTCATGCCTCAGATTCTTTCAGTTTGGAAAAAGGGCTGGACCTAGACACAGCCATTCTGGGACATGGAGATCTTGAGCCCTGCAGTTTGTGAGAACCAGACTGAGTTCATGTTCCTGGCTGAAGGTTGGACCCAAATCAGCTTGAGTCTAGTGGCTCCAGCAATTATGGTGAGGTAGTGAGAGTCAACAAGCCCTCATACCTACTGGATTGCTGGAAGTTGGTCTCCTAAGTGGGAAAATAGGGTTACAACTCACAGGGATCCCCGTGGGACAAGGTTAACATGTCCCTTTCCCCCAGACCCATCAGCCACACAAATAATTGCACCTGGCATCCCACTGCGGGGCACAGTGTGTTTGTCTTGTTGGTTTATTGGCCTAGACGGTTGGACACACACACAAATGCGGAGATAAATATTGGTCAGTTTCTCTAAATCTGGGTCCTCACTACATTTACAGCTAGTCTGTAGAATTCTAATCTTGCGTGCTGTAGCACAGAACCAGTGGCCTTTCCACTCTGCCGTCACCCTTCTTCCCAAGGAACATGGGGAGAGGGGACAAACCAATGAGGCTTGATCATTTTCAAAAGAGGAAATCGTAAAATCTCAAATTTCCAACATCCGAAACTCACACTATTCAGATTCCCCAGCTCAGATACATGTATTTGAATCTCCACATTGCCACAATCTCATTTTTTTTTTGCCCAGAACCACCAAATTCCTTAATTATATTTCAAAAAAAAAAAAAAAAGTCAACAATCTCAATTCTCCCAAAATATCCACGGTTTTGGAATTGTGACCTATTCTGAAATCCAAACTCCCCAGTCTATCCTTCCCATTCTCCTGCGTCTGTTTGCCTCCGAGGAGTTCTGGTGAAGGATATAGGGGACTGTTACCACATCTGCCCCCTGCCTCCAGGCCATCCTCAGTCTCTGTGGTTCCGCTGTATATATAGATATATAATTTGTGTGTAGATATATATATGTATTCTTTATTATGTATTTTTTCGCAGTTTTTCTAAAGTGCCAGAAACAAGATTTGCGGGAATTTTTAGTGATTTTTTTTTTTTTTTTGCATTTTTCCCTGTTGGAAACATCTTTCCCCCATAAAAATTGAAACTTGGTACATTCAGTAGGAAATTTTTCACTCAGGTTGTGGCCAAGACCAAGAAAAGTGCAAAGAGACAGAGGAGGAATGAAGGAGTGACCCCTCCATGGTTAACATTCAAGGAGCCTGTCAAAAACCTCCCCCTTCCTATACGCTGCTGGGAGGGCACGAGGGGGCAGAAGGGTACTCCTGGCCTCCCCCCCAAACTCACCTCCCCCCCAAAGCCATGATCTTGCCCTGCCAGTAGTTGCTGGGAGGGCAGCCATCTTGGCCCTAAAAAAAACAGTAGTTGGGAAAAAGGCCGCTGTTTCAATGACGGTGACTTTTTCCCTTTTAAAACTGTACTCCTCTAATTCCCATTTGTCAGATCTGCTCCCCAAAACTGGCTCTCCCTTTGTGAGCTCTCTTTTGGGGGAGGAAGGATGTGGTGATGGGAAATGTTCATCCAATCGCAGAGCAGGGAGGCCCAGTCTTCGAAGAAAGAGGAGCAAACATTTCTTCATCTCCCCCACTGGAAGGAAGTATGAGGGACCCCTGACCAGGGCTAACTAGTGCAAATCAGGGACGAGGGACTGTTGAAGGTCCCTGTACCCCATCCCTAGGCTGGGATCTTTGGGCGTGGGGAACTGAGTCAAAGATGGGGTGTAAGGTGCTATTTTGGAGAGAAAGTTGGTGGGGATACCCCAAAGCCCACCAGGTGAGTAGGATGGTTCCCCCAAAACCATCTGGAGTGATTAGTGAGGGCAGCAACACTAGGAAGATAGGGGTAAAGGTAAGGATGGAAGGTCATGTGCAAATCTTGGGCTTCCCTACCCATCTGCCCCCCATCATTTTCTGGCTATTTGGTCTAGTCTGGGAGAAACCATTAGGAAAGAAAAACAGGGAGGAAGTAGATTCCCTTCTCCATCCCATAGGGAGCTCTTCCCTCCTGGCTCCCAAATCTGGTTTAGCCCAGAAGAGGCCGTATGTAGAGGCAAGAAGAGGTGTGATCTAGTCACCTCTTTGCCTTGGAAGAATCTGGGGCTCACTGGATTTGGGGGTCAAGATTTCCCGACCCTGGGCTGGGAAAGTGCTCAGCCATGGAACAGAGGGGCAGCCCTCCTCCCAGTACCTCCTTGGCCTGGATTGGGAGAGGCTATCTCCAAAGCCCAGGAGTGTTGGGAGGAATATGGAAGATCCAGAAGGCGTGGAAGCCAAGGCAGGCATGGCGTCTTAACACAAAGGAAACTGGGACAGAGAAACCCACCCTTGGGAGGAATGGAATCCAAAGCCATGCTCCCAGGTAGGTGGAGTCAGATATCACAATGGTCTGGTCCAGGCCCTGGGCCACAAAGAGTGGAATGTGCTAGGGAGTGTCTGGGGAAGGGCTGAGAGAAGGCTTCAGAACGAGGGGATCGAGGGGATCGGTAGGTGAGAGAGATGGTTTCCCCCTAGGTTTACGAATCAGGGGAGCAGGTTAGACATTCAGAGCTGGTGGGGCTGTGAGTAGAGATTCAGATGAGTATATTGCTCAGTTGCCCCAAGGGCTGGAGAAGGGATAGGAGCTGGCCCTGCCCCTCACGGAAGCCATTCCCTGGAGGAAGGTCGAGAGGAAAACCACAAAGACCCCTTCCCAGGAGATGGGAAAACTACAATCTCACACAAAGCAGCCTGACCCCTGAGCTCCAGGGGCCCCCAAGTCCCTGCACGAGAGTGGGAGGGGCTCCCAAGGGGCAGGGAGGCCAAGGAGCTGGTAGTGGTGGGGGCTTCAGGGAGGGTGGCATCTGGTGAAAGGGGGGCTCTGGCCCCAGAATTCACCCCACATCTCCCTTCTGGGTTCTCTCAACTCCTGCCCTTTCCCCTTCTCCCTTAGGGGGAGGTGGGGGAGGAAGAGTTGGGGGAGGT